AACAAGCTTGCTCCATCTTTCACGTGACAGCCCTTTAGATATTTGATGGTGGCTGTCATATCTCCTATCACTCTCCTCTTTTCCATCTCATCTGGTGCTGCTCAAGCAGATGGCCAGGGACAGGACAGGGCCATTGCTCAGTGGTAGAGCATTTGCTTTGTATACAGAAGGTTCCAGGTTGAACCCCAACATCTTCAGGTAGGGCTGAGACAGACCTGTCTGAAATTTTGGCGAGCCAGTGCCAGTCAATGTAGGTAACACTGGGGTACATGGATCAGTGTTCTGACTTAGAACAAGGTTCATGGGACCTTCCCAGTGTCCATGGGAAGTACCCATTGCCACTCATTGCCCAAATGTTCTTTGGGACAGGAGGCCATCTCTTTCACCTAGGTAAATTTGCAGTGTTCCACATTATATTGATTTCCACACATCAAAGTCAATAATCTCTAGGGATGTTATTATTAGTATTTCAATTTATTAGTGTTGATGATAACCTTGAATTCATGCACAGTTTAGGTGGGACCAATGTGCCTTGAGGATAGCATGTTTCCACATAAAGCTACCTTGAAATCACCTTGAAAAGACCCTCTTCAAACCTCATTACCATCTGAGAGAAGGTGGGTGGGTGGCACAACATGGGTCTTTATGACATACTGCCCCATTTTTAATCCCCTTCACAGATAACAAAGTTAATCAGAGGTGAGCATATATTTCTGATGATAGGTGGAGACCTTTCTATTTGCCTATGTCTTTTAGATTTGGTACTATCATTTTATCCTACTGGTATGGGGATTGACATGGTGTTTTTTTTCATTTGTACTTTTTAGGATGGAAGCGTGTTCTATAAATACTTGTAAATAAAATAAAATAACATAAAATAAAATAAAATAAAATAAAATAATAACCTGTGGTGCAGCTAAGTATAACCCTATCTTTGGAGGCAGTGTTTGCACATAGTGTGTGTGTTGGGAGACATTCAAAAGGGTTGATCACAGTGCCCAAATGTATATATACTTCATGGAAAGCTTTGACATGCAACTGTCTGTGCTTGTGTGTGATCTGAAAGGAATTCAAAGCCAGTTCAAATCAGCCTTTCCCTACACAATGCCCTCAAGATGTTTTGGGTTTCAAGTCATAATATCTCTGACCACTGGCTATGCCGGCTGAGACAGATGGGTGTTGTGGTTCAGCAATATCCAGGAGATACCAGGTTGAGGAATGGGATTTTAAAGTGTGCCGTAGTGTAGGACCTCAGGGAATTAATGTGGAGAGCATAAAGACATTTTGAAAAATCTTCTCTGGTGAAAACACGAGAACTTTGGGGAATATTGTCTCTAGCAGTGGCAATTATTTTGTGTGGCTCAGAGTACATTTTGTGCTTTTCACCTAGAGATAAAGGATTTTTAAAAAATAAGGTTCTCCCATTTCAACTTTGGATATAAGCACATGGTCTTGAAGAACTGGGGTTTCAAAGTAGAGCCAATCTGCTGGAAGCGCCAGCACTGTAAACAAAAGTCTCTCTTCAGACAAACTGAAGAAATATCTTGTTAGAGGTAAGGCATATTGTAATGTTAAGTATTGCACTGCAGGAATATTCAAAATATAGTAAAAGGAAATGTTAGAAGGTCCCCATACCAAACTATTTCACATTTTGTTACTTTTCCATGCTTACAACTGGATCTAGAGGCAACCATTTTCAGAGAATTCCCATTTCAAGCAAACAATTAAGTTGTAACTGCAGGAAAGTGAATCCCTTTGAAAGAAGGAATTACGTAGCTGTACTGAAGGAAAACCAAAAACTCCTTTACATTAGAGTTGGGGAACTCTTTTCAAAACAAGAGCCACATTTCCTTCTGTGTAACATTCTGAGGGCCACATGGCAGTGGTGGGTGGGGCCAGAGGCAAAAGTGGGGGCAGCAATGAATGCAAATTATACCTCTGTATAGTAGGCTACTTTCTGCACACACTCACTCAGCCACCCTTCTTTACCCCCAATTCAGACAAGCAAGAGACATTTTCAGAGATGAAGAACACATGGGCATAGCCAGGAGGGGGGGCAGGGAGGGGCAGCTGCTCCCCCATCAATAAAAATAATAAAAATACATAGCAAACTGAGGTTCTGTCCCCCTAACAAAAGGCTTGCCCCCCCCCAAAAAAAAATTCTGGCTATGCCCATGCTTATAGCCAATGTGGAACATTATGAGGACCAGATTGGAATCAACTGCTGGGCCTTTGATTCGCCACCACTGCTTTACAGTGGCTGCATACACAGGACCGTTTGTTCCATTTTCATGACGTTCCCCTAACTATTAATTTCCACATTATATTTGAGCTTTCACATAATATAAAAGCCGCTTTCTGGAATATAGTAGAATATAGTGCAAGTTTAGCACATTTCCATATTATTTGTGAATGGATTTTTTTCTGGAAACAAAAGCACAGAAATAGATAATAATTTATAATATTATTTCTACCCTGCCCATCTGGAGAGAGATAGGGCACTTGTTACCTAGAATATGCTGTGAAGGACATCTCTGGGGCAGAAGTAAACTCTCTAGGGCAGAGGGAAAATTAAGATCAGATCAAGACTGTACTAGAAAATCATGTTTACAACAGAAGAATAAATGCTTGGGTAAACAGAAACATCTTCTGATGGTACTTGAAAGCCATCAAAGAGGGCACTAGACAGAGGAAGGAAATTTCACATGCAATGCAATGTCCAATGTAGAGTTGGAAACTGCAATACTAACTTCTCACCATGCACAATGATGACACTAAAGTCCTACTGAGAGCAGATCAGTAGCAGCTCCCTCCTCTGGGAAGCTAGTTTATGGAAAGAAAAAAATGGTATCTGGTGCCTTAAGAGGGAATTATTTACAGTTCCAAATTAAACCCTGTGAAGGCCCCTAGGCCTAGGGGGGTTTGCAAATTATCTCCTAATATGTTTTTGACTTTACCAACCAATTTCAAGATCAAATCAATATCTGTTGTTGCATGGCCCCTAAAAGGCATGGTGTCCATAGGTCGGTGCTTACTCTGCCTATTTGGTAATCCGGCACTGATTCTTTAGCAGTGTATTCTGAAATATAGGTGCAAGTTACCTTTAAAACTGAGTGGTTTAAAGTACTCTGTGTTATGTTACCAAACACATATATTTTTATGAAGTCGTTTGGACAAATTAAACACAGGGTTATCTACTCAGGCAAGGAAAAGGGAGTAAAGGAGATAAGACCCTTGGATGAAACAATATCTTCAGGCTACAATTATCCATATCGGCTGCACGCTTATGTTCCTATGTTGTTCAGATAAGAGAGTATTTCCCAACACTTTTAATGCATCACCTTCAAAATTACCTTGATTAAGATTTACTACAAATTTATGGCCACAATCCAATGCCAATTCAAACATACTGAATTCAAGTGTGTGTTGGATAGTGGCTGAAACAAAAACATGTATGTGATTTTTATAAATGCTTTGCCCAGAAAAGACATATAAATATTTTTTTAAGAGAGAGAGAGAGGGAGAACTAGGTAATATCTGGGTCTTAGGAAGGAGCTGTAGATGTATAACTGATACTAATTTTTATTTAATATTTTCACATGTCACAGAAGTAGTTTAAGGCTTACATGTAAATCAGAAGGATTCTCAAGAATCCGTGTGTGTGTGTGTGTAGTAGGAGTGATACTCTATGTAAGTCCCCATAAAATGCTAAACATTCTAAATAGGTAAGTGAAATAGTGCCTCAGAGAAATATTACTAGTCTTATCAAAATTGATTTGATATTCTTTAAATTTCACTTTAAGGAGACTGTGCGACAGCTAGGACTGCTTAAGGATTTCAGTTTTTCCGCATTTGGATATGAACCAATCTGATCAAAACTAATGCAGTCAAACCTTGGTTCCCAAATGGCTCTGTTTTGGAATGTTTTGGCTCCCAAACGTTGAAAACCCAAAAGTAAAGGCTCCAGTTTTCGAACATTTTTCAGAAGCCGACTGTCCAACATAGCTTCCACTTGAGTGCAGGAAGCTCTTGCAACCAATTGGAAGCTGTGCCTCGGTTGTTGAACATTTCAGAAGCTGAACGGGCTTCCAGAACAGATTACGTTTGACAACCAAGGTTTGAATGTATGTGGTTCACAATATAGTTATGCATTAACTTTTACAATTTCCAAATGGTAGGACTCTAGAAAGTTGCTTTATATTGAGTCAGACCACTGATCCATCTACCTTGTTCTGTTTACACTGTCTAGTAGCAGACAGGAACATTCCAAGAAACACCTTCAGATGAAAGGAGCTGGGTAGCATGTCAATGTTTTAAGATCAGAAATTGGCCTGTGTTTAGAACAGGAATGCTGAACCCACTACACTTTCCCCCCGGTCCATCATCCTCCACTCCAATTTAATGGCATTGGCATTGACTGTGAAAGTGTTAAGCAAAGTATCTATTGTCTATCCTGATAGCCACCATTGCTAACAACTGCCATGCACCTCTGATGACGGACATTATGGTGGGCAGGTTGAGTTGTCAAAGTCTGGGGGTTATGCAAACTTGCTGGTCCTTTGTAAATTTTAAATTGCACTCCAGTAAAATCAAATTTGTAATTGTTAAGTAAAGGTCAGTTTTTGATTTCTATTTAAAACAAATTCGTAAAAGAATTTCAAAACTCTTGTCATTCCATTCAGCCGCAGCTGCAAACAGAAACTCAAACCCCAAGTGACACCATCTGCTTCTTTTTCCTTCTCATGACTAATGATCAAAGGATCAAGTATCTTATAGTTGGACAAGTTTTGTTTTGTTTTCATTGGCACAACTTACTGGGAAACTTCCTGCAAACGATCAAAGAGTAATTACCTTTTCTCTGTTGTGCCATTTTTCTATTTATAGGGGTATATTTTTCAAAAGTCTGATCTGCACCTAAGTAGTCCTACAGTCCATTCCTACCCCATCATTCTGGTTAAGTCTACACATGTAGCTGAATGAGGTGAAAGAATACAGGACAGGGATAGCTCAGCTGGTTAGAGCATGGTACTGATTATGCTAAGGTTGCAGGTTTGAACCCTTTATGTGGCAGCTGCATATTCCTGCATTGCACAGCTTTGGGCTAGATGATCCTCAGGGTCCATTCCAACTCTACAGTTCTATGATACTATGAGTTGATGCTGGGCTCCTCTTTCCATGCTAAGACACATTATGGGGAGTGAACATGGAGGTATCAAGAACATACCGTATTTTTCGCCCTATAGGACGCACCGTCCCATAAGGCGCACCTAGTTTTTTGGGGGGGGGAATAAAGGGGGGGGGAATTTATTTTTCCCCCCCAGGCACAGGGCTGGGGTGGGGGAAGCCCGAGCTTCCCCCGACCCCAGCCCCCAGAACAGGCAACTCTCCGCAAGCGTGGGAGCCCAGCGCCGGGCTCCCGCGCCTTGTGGAGAGCTGCGTGAAGTCTGGGCGCGCTGAGCTCAGCGCACCCAGCCTTCGGCATGCAGGCAACTCTCAGCGCGCCCAGGCTTCGGCATGCAGGCAACTCTCCGCAAGGTGCGGGAGCCCAGCGCGGGCTCCCACGGCTTGTGGAGATCTGCGCAAAGCCTGGAGAGCGAGAGGGGTCGGTGTGCACCGATCCCTCTTGCTCTCCAGGCTTCAGCGAAAGCCTGCATTCGCCCCATAGGACACACACACATTTCCCCTTCATTTTTGGAGGGGAAAAAGTGCGTCCTATGGGGCGAAAAATACGGTAATTGGGGCTTTGTGACAGCAGTCGTGAAATTAAAAGATGCCTGCTTCTTGGGAGAAAAGTGATGACAAACATAGACAGCATCTTAAAAAGCAGAGAATCAACTTGCCGACAAAGGTTCGTATAGTTAAAGCTATGGTTTTCCCAGTAGTGATGTATGGAAGTGAGAGCTGGACCATAAAGAAGGCTGATCGCCAAAGAATTAATGCTTTTAAATTATGGTGCTGGAGGAGACTCTTGAGAGTCCCATGGACTGCAAGAAGATCAAACCTATCCATTCTGAAGAAAATCAGCTCTGAGTGCTCACTGGAAGGACAGATCGTGAAGCTGAGACTCCAATACTTTGGCCACCTCATGAGAAGAGAAGACTCCCTGGAAAAGCCCCTGATGTTGGGAAAGATGGAGGGCACAAGGAGAAGGGGACGACAGAGGACGAGATGGCTGGACAGTGTTCTTGAAGCTACCAACATGAGTTTGACCAAACTGCGGGAAACAGTGGGAGACAGGAGTGCCTGGCGAGCTCTGGTCCATGGGGTCACGAAGAGTCGGACATGACTAAACGAATAAACAGCAACAACAATGTTAGACCAATGTTGGACCCATGGAGTATAATGGGGTTGACTCCCAGTGTACACAGTTACAACCATAGTATAGGTTTTATCATCTGATTCCCTATTGGAAAATCTTTAGGGAGATTCCCAATTGTTTTAATGCACATTCTTAAATGTTCACTAAACAAGGGGAGCACATACTTCAGGCTTATGAGCCTGATATCTACTTTGTCCTCTCTAGAAACCAATGAGAAACCAATTATAGCCTGGTGTGAAAAGATATCTGTTCTTTGTTTTCACAAGCTGGAAGTAAAAAAAAACTCCTGCCAGTTAACTACAAATCTCCCAGAGATTTACCAATAGATTCTGCAGAATTCAAAATTTAATATCATAAAATACAATATTTGAGAAATAAAAAGCAATGAAATTCCAACTAAAAATCACCAAGAATAGTTAACATAATGGATGTGTGCTGTCTTCCCCTAGAATAAAATGGTGAAAACTGATTTGCATGCACTTTCAAACAAAATCAGTCCTTTTGTTGTGATAAAACTGGAAGTAAATCTACCACATCAGAAATGTTCATGTTGTTCACAATTATTATTATTGTTGTTTTGTGTTTTTGTTATTTGAAGGACTGGTAGTATGTAGTTTTCTTTTCTGAAGTTCTCTTTAGCTACCTAATTACAGTCTTCTGTATTAGTGCTGTCACCGAATGGTTTCACAGTGTGGAGCCACATCAGTTCTTTTCTTGATTTTAGCAACTTCAATTATTGCTAATAAAAGCAGATCTTGTTCATGGACTATAGACTGTGGGAGGCACACAATTAAAACCTCCAGGGATTCTGCTTTAATTCAAAATGGAGTCCTATGGCATCCAGAAATCTCAGGACTCAACAAAAGACTGAATAGAAAATGTCAACTATTGGGCCAAGATCAAATTTGACAGTGTTAATGTCTCCCACAGAGGGGGCATTCAGACTATCTGAGGGCTACTTTTTTAAATTATTTCACAGTCAAATTACTGTGAGATGGAGTGCCAGAATACAACAATTCAACAATTCCCATTGTATTTTAGCTTAGTGTACAAAAAGTACAAAGGCACAGATAGAACACGGTTTTCTGAGATGTGTGCACTAAAGAAACACACCATATAGATAAGGATTATTTGAGATCATCATGATACAAAACATGTACTGCATTTCTGAAACACTGGTAGAGAATCAATTGACAATGCAATTGAGAGTATTCTTTCTTCTTCTCCCATTTTCCCAGGTACTATATAAGGCTGGTCCTTGCCAAGGGCTCCTGGAGTGATGGATCTGTTTGTTTGATGGAAGAAGCTAGCTGGGTATCCTGACAACAGTTGAGACTGTTAGTTCTTCTACTCTCAGCTCCCCAGGTGCTGACTCTTGTCTTCTAGCTCTCAACTGGGGGTGAGCAGTTAGAGCATAAGATGAAGAGGACACCAATGGAGGCAAGATGTGTAGGGAGAAAGACAAGAGGAAGAACCAAATGGTTCTAATAAGGTAGTATGCATCCACCTGGAGTCATGAGAGGCAATTTGTTGGGAGTTTTGATGGAAATTTACTTATTTTTTCTAGACTTTAGTGGCTATGGTTAGATTGTTTGTTAGCCTTTGGTTTTGTTTGTGATCTTATTTTGGATATTTCTGATATATTTTATATATCAGTTTATATATTGTGCTTTTATTATTGATATTAATGTTGCTTATATTATACATATACATATACCATCTCTCTCTCTTAATTGTGCTCTGTGTTTTGGAATTATATGGTTTTTGTTTGTTTTAAAGAATAATGAAAAATACTTTGGGGTCATTTGTGACCAAAAGCGGTATATAAACACTTTAAAAAACAAAAACCATCCCCATCATTTCTTGTTCCTCTGTGACTCAGAAATACTCACAAACCTCTGCCAACCCATAAAAACTAGAGTTGCTACTTCAGCAGAAACTCAAGGGAAACATGCTGGTCCCTGTTCAGTTGAATCATTTGTAGGAATTCTAAGGAAAGATGAGAGTTTTGAGAAGTGATACCTTTCAGGGTAGGCTTCACATGTATTATGGGTTGCACACGCGCATTGTTATTTCTTTATTTCTTATTACATTTATTGCCCAAATTTCCTCTAAGAAGCTCAAGACCTATCTATTGCTCCTCCCACTGCTAACCACTGGAATGTGTGCCCCAGACAGTTGTCCACAAGGGAATATGGCACTCTGATAAAAAAAAGGTTCCCCTACTCCTAATGTCAAAAATTTCCTTTGAACATTTGAAACATCTTCCTACACCAGGTGTGGGGAACTGCTTCCCCTGGCAATGGGTCATACTTGCAAGGGGTGATGGGAGCTGTAGTTCAGCAATATCTGGAGGGCCAAGTGTTCCCCACTCTTACCCTACTAGACCTTCCTATTCAATGCACAAAACTCAGAAACAGAACCAACAGAGATGTGGGCATCGGTGTGGCATTAGTAAGTTCATCTCTGCTTCTCTCTCAACTGTTTTCACAAGGGGAAGAACCACAGATGAGTGGTAGAGCTCAAACTTAGCGAGCACAAGCTATAATGTCCGATTCTTGGTATGTCCAGGAAAGGCCTCAAAAGTCTCTTGCCTGCAAACTTGGAAAGCCACAACTAGTTTCTCTTGATACAGCTGAACTAGATGAACCAACAGGCTCACTAGATAGCAGGCCAGATGCCTGCTAGATGCAAGGGTATGTACATGATAGGTGCTGGCAGTGGTCTGGCTTTGGGTGTAGTAGAGGCCACTGTCCTGTCACCAGCATCGAGGTAAGCTTCAACTGCCAATACAGCTGGATTCTGTACATGAAATAGAACTGACATTTTGTCGTTTGCTTCATGAAACATAACATCTTCTGCTGATCTTAGCCAGATGCCAGCTTAGAAAGAAGACTTTATGAGCATTGGTGCTCAAATTTGTTTTCCCCTCCCCCAATCCTTTTACTCCAGTTTTTCTCTATTGCACCACGTCTATTGAATTCTAAGTCTGTTTTCCCCCACTATAGCACTTCTAAAACTTCAAATGCTTAACAAAGTATGGGAGGTTCTATATTAGTGGCCAAAGACTGCTTTCTCACGTTGTGTTTTGATGTGTTAAATGGTAAGTTTGAGATAAAGCTGATTAGTTCTTAGCAGAATGGAAATGCCATTTAACTAATGCAGTGAAATGTGTTGAATTTACTGCACCAGAACACAGACAGAACTAAATTGCACGTTCATGTCTGTGGATGGGGACTTCCCTTTATTTCATTTCTGTTTATTATCATCACTACATAATCTACATGGAAAAAAATTAGCCCCCCCATCCTTCATGTTCCTCTCTATGGCTGTTTGATTCCCCACAGAACTGACACAACATGTGATAGAGTTTACAAATAAAAGTACGAGACAGAATCTCCCCAAAGTTATACCCCATTGACCTCCATTCTCTTCAAAGGATTTAAATCCAGCCTGGGGCTTTTAAAGACATGAATTCTTACTTGTAAATCGGAAAGCCTTATGAAAGCTTAACAAGATTATAAAAAGAAAGTGAACAACAAAAGGATTCTCCCCACCATCACATACACCCCCCCCCCAGTTGACTGTGTCCCTGAATGTGTGTGGGTGTGTGGGTGTATTTTGGGTGAATGAGGTGTTAGGGGAGGGGTAGTACCTCTGTTGTGGGGACACATTGTACTCCTTCGGGGGTAGTCTGTCCACTTTTTGTTGCTACCCTGCACTCAGCTCTCATCTGTGGCTCCTAGAAGCTGTCAGCATGCAACAATGGCCAGGAATTGGTTATAAGTGGCTGGCTAAACCAGGTGAAAGTAGCCAATGGGTATCAAACCTTCCATGAGTTAGGGATTTCCTCTGCATGTGAAGACAGGCTTTGGCAGATTGGGCAGATGAGGCCAATAGTGGGTCCAACAGTCCAGAAGGTGGTTTCTGCATGTGGTGTAGAGGAAAGTGAGGGGCAGGTGGGCTTGTCCACCTGCGAAGGTAGCCCATCTAGGAGAAGGAAAACTTTGATCCTAAACTCTCTGCTGCCTTTTGAGATATCTTCAGGAGAAGATAAGGCTAAATAGTAAACCTTACACAAATCTGGATTGGAGTCCCAGCACTATCGTCAATGACTTTTTTGTTCCACACACCCAGCATAATAACTGGCACAATGGGCAGATATTTCTACTATGTCTTTTGCCCAACAAATGGAGATATTTTAAAATAAAGAATTTGTTTTCTTTCAAGGCACCTCAACTACAGAAAGAATGATAGACTTTGCAACTTTTTGAGCCTCATGAGGTATGTGAGAGTGGGATGCATAACATGTTGCATATCCAAATGAGACTAATAGGAAAATTTCTCCAAGCACAGGCAAAGAAGTGGAGTAGAACATATGGCACAGCTCATCTGCAAAAGAGATATGGAACTGGGTTGAGAGAATCACTCCAAGCCTAAGCTTACAACAAGTCACCACAATCAGCCTTTCATTTATAGGGTGTTAAAACAGATGAATCTTAAGAAACCTAAGATAAATTTTAAAATAATGTATACTAACAAGTACATTTTAAGGTACACACACATTTTACATTCTGTCCTTCATCATAAATGCTTCCAGGGCAGAACACAGCAGTATAACAATAAAACATGATCAAAACTTGTCACATATATCCAACACATCTGTTTTTCATATCTTCTGCAAATATCCAAAAGCCAATTCAAAGGCCTGGAGAAAGAGAACCATCTTCAGGTGCTGCCAAAAAATAGAATGTAGGTGCCAAGACCATAAACTCCAGGACGCCAATGCGAAAAACAGGGGTGAACATCTTCCGGGGCTGAATTCCCAGATGAGTCACATGACAAACACGAGATCACAGCCCTGAAAGATGTGTTATTTTCAGGGCTGTGCTCTCATGTGTTTTGGGGTGCTGCAGAAGATGGTAGCCCAAAAAACAGCTTTTGGGGGGTGAGACTGTGGTGCAAAATTGTGGTGCCCAAAAATGTGCATTTTTGAGCTCTGTACTCTTGCAAGAAAAAAATGGATGTCCCATTTTCAGGACAGTTGTGGCGTGTGCAAAACTTTATGGGGGAGGATTTTCCATTGCTGAGGTGCCATTGATTAGAGGGCCATCTTAGGCCCCATCTGCACTATACACTTAAAGAAGTATCATATAATTCTAACAGTCATGGCTTCCCCCACAGATTCCTGGGAACTGTAGTTTGCTAAGAATGCTGAGAGTTGTTAGAAGTTCCCTGTATCCCCCACACAGCTACAATTCCCAGAGCTCCCTGGGAAGAGGGTTTGACTGTCAAATCACTTTGAGAACTGTAGCTTTGCGAGGGAAACAGGGCTCTCATAACAACTTTCAACACTCTTAACAAACTACAGTTCCCGGGATTCTATGGGGTGGGCTATGGCTGCTTAAAGTACTTTGAATGTATAGTGCAGACAGGCCCTTATTACCTTATATTATAGAATCTTATATTGAGAAGCCCTGAACCTTGGGTTAGCAACAATTGGACCTCCCTGACAACATCAGTCCATGGTATGCTTAAGGTTGTCTATAGACCAGAGCTAAAATGTCAAACTGGTTTACATGCTTGGACATCACTGGATTCTCTGCACTTGGTGATAGTATGGATTGCTTCAGATTGAAACACACTGTAAGTAGTGTGAAGGTTCTTTTGTTAGAACTGAGATGCCTCATTAACACATGCAAGTCATCGCTTGATATTGCCATCATCAGGGGATGAATATGCATGTGTGAATCAGCCTATGAGTGGGGAATTAATTCTTGCTCCCCTTATTCACTGTAGCCACTACTCAAACACTTGCATACCCTACTTTCTGGGGGTGAGGGGCGGGGAGAGAATATAATACAAATGAGATCTCTCACAGAAGGGCTGTTTAATTAAGAATAACTGGCTAAGCTTTGGTAGCATTAATTATCTCAAGGTTTTTGCAGCTTGATTACTTTCTGATGGGAAAGAGCTTCTCAGCCAGACCTATTCAAATCAAGATTCTTTTGTTTTGCTTTAGAGAGCCAAGAAAGATTTCCCGGGGGAGTATACACAGAAGCCTCTGAGAAAGCAAAGCAGAGATGCTCAGAGTAAGAGTGACAGCTGGAGACTGAGGTTTTGCAGCATGAAAAATACTTGATTTTTCTAAAGTGAGTAACTCTGCTGCTATAAGACAAAGGGAGCATGTTTCTAAACTGGGGGGGGGTGTGAAATTGGTCTTAAAGGAAATGGAGTATTTGCTATTAAATTGTGAAATAAAATGGTTACTTCTAATAGGAAATGGTTGACCACACTGCTGTCATTTTTAAGGAGATTGGTGTCATGACTGGGCAAGATCCAGTCATTGTTGCACATTTTTAAAAAGGTAAAGATAAAGGGACCCTTGACAGTTAAGTCCAGTCGCAGATGACTCTGGGGTTGTGGCACTCTTCTCGCTTTACAGGCCAAGGGAGCCGGTGTTTGTCCACAGACAGTAAATTGTAGGAACCCGATGTCCCTTCATGTCCCAGACCACTGCGTTCATCTACAGAAGTCCTCCTCATTGTCCTTCATTTATCAATTATTTGTTTAGTATCTACACAAGCTAAGGTTTTGACCATAATTGCACCAATACTTTGGAACACTGTTCTTATTGAAATCAGACAAGCACCTACAATTCTGATATTTTGCCACCTGCTGGAAGCGTTTCTGTTTCACCGAGCATTTGTAATTTATTTTATTGTATTCAGATTTTGCCATTTGTAAAGTTTTATAATTTTATGATATTTTAATTTTAATTTATTTATTGTACATTTCCATTATGTGTGTGCATGTGTTTACCATCAGCTGCTTTCTAACATGCTCTGACACAATCATCTCACCTATTATAAAAAAACAAAAGCTATTGTCCATGGAAGGACAGAAAGCGAATGGCTATCTTTTTCTTAAAAAAACAAAACCATGAAGCAGAATTATTTCATTCTAGACTAATTAAACAAACTTATTACTAATAACTCACAGAGACAGAGACATCAATGGAAGTGGTAGAGCTTTCCAGTGCTGTGATGGACAGAGTACCAGGCTGTTAGTATTCTCAACTCTGAAGCATCAGATAGATAAATACAAACACAAATACAAGCTTGCTAGACTAATACCTATGAGAAATAGCCATTGGGCCATGTTCAAGGTCTTCTTGCTAACATATAAAACTCTGAACAATATGGAACCAGGTTACCCAAAGGACTCTGTGTAGAACTGTAACATCATCTATGTCATCTGGGAAAAAAATGCTCATGGCAGAATATTGCAGACTGGTGGCCTCAAAATGAGCATTTTCCTCTATTACTCCTACATTCTGAAATTCTCTTCCCTGTGCCATATGTGAAACATCATCCAACAGTTGCTGCCAGTGACAGACACTTCCGTGGAACACTGGAGAGATGCTACCAGTCAGTATAGACCGGGGTGCAGAATGTGGACCCCTCCAGATGTTGCTGGACAACAACTCCATCATCCCTGACCATTGGCCAAGCTGGCTGGGGTTGATGGAATCTGGAGTCCGACTACAAACCTAGAGGTTCCTCATCCCTCGTGAAAATATGGCTGAGCTATATGGAACAAACATCTCACTCAATATAACGCAGCTTCCTCTGTCCACATGAGCAAATGTAAACATCAAATTATGCTGTTCTGGTAATGCAATTGCTGACATCCTTTTAAGTGGAAACATGCTGGTTTTGACCTTTAAAAGTCTGGGACCTACACATATTCAGAGAGTGCTTCTATCTATATTAAACCCCACCTTCCCATCTTACCACCCTGCTTAGGAAGATAATACAATCAATCCCTGCTGAGAATTCTGACAGTATTTGAAATCTTCGTCTTAAACCTTCTAGAGAGCTTGGGGAAGGGAAGGGGGAGTTCAGAAACAGTTCTCCAGGTAGATTGCTATCACATCCTCTTGCACTGCCTTAAGCATTGCACACTGACTGAGCTACTGGAGCTCTTTAGCTCTGATGGTAATCCATGGGAATCCATGGGAAGAATCAGAACCTCAGGAAAAGAAGTGTTATAAAATAGCCTTCCCAATTTTGAGTCAGCCTTGGGAAAGAGGAGTGCATATGACTATTTTCTTTATTTGATATGGTATATCATGCAGCAACAGAACATTATGGGCAGAAATGGGGTGTATACATTGTTGAAATGTATTATAGTTCAACAAGAGGCAATATATGGATACACTTTTAACTAACACGTATGTTGAAGCAGCATATAGAATACGGGCTAAATTATCAATGACCAGTGCAATGCATTCTCACCAGTTCAATGGAATTATGGCCTCATCCACATGATACATTTAAAACAGTTAATGTACCACTTTAAACATACATGGCTTCCCCGAAAGAAATCTGGGAATTGTAGTTTGTTAAGGGTGCTGAGAGTTCTTAGGAGACTTGCATTCCCCTTGCAGATTTACAATACACAGAGTGGTTTAACAATCAATCCCTCTTCCCAGGGAACTCTAGGAAACAAAGCCCACCTTCAGCATAAAAAGCCCTAGAAATGCATTCAATTTTGTAACAACAACAACAACAACAACAACAATAAATTAGTGGCTGGTTTCCCCAGCCACTCTGGGTGGCTTCCAACAACATATTAAAAATACAATAAAACATCAGATATTAAAAAACTTCCCTAAACCAGGCTGCCTTCAGATGTCTTCTAAAAATCAGACAGTTGTTTATTTCCTTGAAATCTGATGGGAGGGTGTTCCACAGGGTGGGCGCCACAACCAAGAAGGCCCAAGGCATGTTACCCTAGCCAGTGTTAGCAGATTGGTAGTAAAACACATCATCATTTCTTAATAGACAAATTGTCAAATGCCTTTCTGAAGGATTGACATGTTGACAAATTCCCTTCTGAGGGATAACTCAGTTAGTAGAGCATGAAACTCTCAGTGTCCTGGGTACGAGCCCCACTTGGGTGAAAATTCCTGCATTGTAGGGAGCTGGACTAGATGATCCTTGTAGTCCCTTCCAACTCTACAATTCTATGATTCTATGATTCTAAGAAAGTGTCTGTAGGTTGGCAGAAACCATATAATGTTTTTGGGGCCGTTTTTCTAACCAGGGACAGCTTTCCACATAAAAATGCTCCAAAATAATGTTAATACTTGTTTTGCATTGTAGTATCCCCCCCCCCCCCCAATAGCTACTTGGATTTCTTTTTCAGACTCTGGATGAAGGCTAAAAAAAAAGTTTTGTTTATTTTTATTCTTCCCTTCTTTTGCAGGCTTTTGCATGGATTTGCTAATTCAAAATAGTTGTTTGTCTGTAAAGTGTAAAATTGTATGCACTTGACTGTATTCTAGGGGCTGATCTGATATATTAACAATAAAGATTGATTGAGTGAACAAAGAGTTTACCATTTTGTTTGTATACATGTGTGGATGCATATGTATGTATGGATGAATAAATATGCATAGAGTAGATTTAACGGTTTCATAACTTTAACATTATGTTACTGATTTTTGTATGTACACATTATGCCTGTGTGTGTTTAAGTGGAATTATATTCTGTTCTGTTCTGTTCTGTTGGCAATAAACAAAAACAGAGGCCTTACATGAGTTTAGGGAAAACCTTACCCAGGTCCCATATGCCACTCCCACCCCCCTTCACTATGCTGATTCTGCTCAATGTCATTTCTGCCCAGAGTCATGACAAAATTCTTGCTATCACCTAACATAATGAAGCATTTCACTGAGGGAAAGGCAACTTGTCCCACAATTGAGGTTGGGAGGGAAAAAATCATTTCCATCATTGGATGGCTTTAAAATAATAATTTAAAAATGCATGGATGGTAATGCGATCAGCTATCAATAGCAGCAACATACAGGAAGTTGCCAAGAATGTGCATTGCAAACAGGACAGAAACTAAAGAGTTACAGCAAAAAAGAAAAGAAGAAAAAGAGGGGGGGGAGAGAAAAAAGATAGCTAGTTTGGATGTTTGGTCATCCAGATCACACATGCACAGAAAACAGAAATTAACTTGTAATCAATCTTGGTTTAAAGTAAGATTTGTTAGGGCTCAGTAGACATCCAAGTATTAAAAAACCCTGATAGATCTGACCTATGAATCACCCAATTTTGAGTTTCAGCAACATCCTAATAATGCAGCACTGCCCCATTTAATGATACTGGCTGTTCTTCCTAACAAAATTAGTGGGAAGAATCTGCCATTCTTACCTTGGTGTAGTCCTTTCTCACATGTAAATCTTTCTTCTTTCTTTACAGTTGAAAGAAGAATGTTTGAGGATCTGGGCTGAAATGAAATTAACTCAATGGAAAGGACTCGAATTCCCATAACTTCTTGTGGCGGAGAGTGGGGGGTGGGGGTGGGCAGGACTGATTCAGCCGAATACAATTTTCTATTCCTGTTACATTTTATTAGGAGGATGAGTCACCCAGTCTATACTGCATAAGAGGGTCAGTGGAAAAATGCCAAATACTATATTTTAGTTCTCTTCTTATTTGTAATCTTGTGGTTTGTATTCCCCACAACTCTCACTGGCCATTTATTGAACTATAAAAGGATTAAGAGGTGTGTGCATTGATCCTAATGGGTAAAGCTGCCCCCCCAAAGTCTATATTCTATTCTATCTTGCAACCTTAATTTTTTTATTTATTTGTAAAGGTCAAAGCTACTAGGTCATTTTATGTGATGCTAATATGAAGAAAGGCAATCTGAAAGCAACATCTTCTTACTGGTCTGAGTCTTATTATTATTTTTTCATTAGTTCTTCGATATTATTGCACTAAATCAATTGTCACTTCTTCTCTCTCCTGTTAGAGCTATAGAGACAACAATTCTGAGATAGAGGTAATCACTATTCGTTCTTGTCTGTATCGCAATTGGTTATTCAGTTCCAGTGACAAGCCAAGCCAATTGCTTCTGTCCACATTCATTACAGGCAATTGGAGTGTGCAGGAGAAAGTGAAAGGATGTTTGCAGACAATAAGCATTGCAATGTGCTGCTAACTAAAGGCAGGTCTATGTCTGCAAAACTTTACCTGGGTACAAAAGAAGCCAGTTTGATTTTTTCTGAATTGGCCCAAATTTTAAAGCACAGCCGTTAGAAAGAAACCCTCGCTAGACATCTGTTAGCAAAAACATCAAAACCTCATCCTGTCCAGATCAGTGAGCACTTTTTTTAATGAGAACATGTTCTCTCCTTTAGATTACATATTGATACATGGCATTGTCTACTGGAATATTCTCTTCTGCAAACCCTGTTGTAATGGATGGGATTTATGCCAGGGCACTACTGTGATTTTTGATGGCTTCCATTGCTTACAGACTGAAATTCAAGCAGAGGCATCTCCAACCTGTAGCTGTGGTAAGGGTAACCAACCTTGTTGGGCCCGGAGGAACATTTGCAAACTGGAGAAACTGTTGTGGGTACCACACCACATTGCAACCAAGCAGACACCATAACCTATTCTATTGGTTCTAGTTACAGGTAGGTGTTGTTCTGCCGTAGTCAAAACAAAACAAAACAAAAATTCCTTCCAGTAGCACCTTAGAGACCAACTAAGTGTGAAGAAGTGTGCATGCACACGAAAGCTCATACCAATAACAAACTTAGTTGTTCTCTGAGGTATTACTGGATTTTTTTTTATTTTGTTCTATTCTATTGGCTACAACAGAATGCTTCTTTTAAGCCTAATGTCACTGGGGAGGGGAGAAATGGAGAAGACCCTATGGGCATCAGGGAAGGACTTCGTCAGTGCCACTGCAGCCCTTGATCTATGTCATAAAAGAGAGGTGTGAAACCTATCAGCCTTTGAAGGCCATATTTTCAAGAACCATCATGAGAACCACTAAAAGTTCCAAAGTTGCCATTGGGAGATGGTTTCCCCACTCCACCCCACCCCAGGAGAAGGAACACATGCAGGGAAATTACCCTGATAGACAGGAGCTGGGATCGACTGCCAGTTGTCCTATATTTCAAAATAAGAGGAGGAGCAATCTGGTATCTGATAGGGCAAACTTGAGGCCAAACAGTAAATGGCACCTCCCATCACCTCCTCCCCCAATGCTCCCATCTCCTCATCCTCACTGCAGCAGTGAAGTCTCACTAGTCAGAGGTGGGGGGACTTCAGTCCCCTGTGACATCCCTCCAGCTACTCTTATTGCAAACTGGAAGCACACATCCCTCTCTAGCACATTCATCTCTATGTTCTCAGTGTCCTGATTCCTTCTGCCAGTCCTGGTAGGAAGGCGAGTGTGCATGTGTGTGTAGTGAAAAAGCTACTTCTGGTGGTGGATTAAGACCCACCATGGCATGAAAAGGGGGGGGGGAGTGGTGCTGGCATCCTCCTGCATTCCCAGTAGGGACGGGGGGGCATTAACATCCCCATAGATATTGCTTCTGTTTTAGATTTCCAGAAGAGCCCCAAAGTCCAGCACAGAATTAAACATGTCTCTGTGTCTTCCAGCTCCCAACATTCAGCTCTGGTTATTGTTTTACCTAGGATTACAGAGCTTCCAACCAGGTGGGAAAATGCCTACCCCTCTTCCTGGAGAACACCATCACTTAGCTCATTCTCTGAGATGCTAATGAGCCCTGACCTGCCCAACTAAAGCCATTACCTTGACAAAATTATTAGTTTGACTTGTTCACCAAGTTCCAACTTCTACATTCTAACCTCACAGATATACTGGAAGGAACCAAGAGTATCATCCAGACTGAGCACCCCAAACTCATATCAATTTGTACACATTATTTGGTTGGAGACATTTCATCACTAAGTTCGGAGAAGTGTGAATTTCAAAGCATACCTGTGTTTCAGTTTACATATTGTTTCAGAAAGTGCAAATTAGTCATGTTGTATTCTTTTCTATTCTGCCATGCCTGTGCAGGCAATTAAGAATACATTTTTTTCCACAGTTGTTAACCGATGTCTGTTTTTAACTTTTTGATATGACTTTAATTATATGGCTTTATGTATTTTAGTTGTAAACGGCACTGATTATTAATAGATAGATGATAGATGATAGATAGTGGTCCATAAATGTTTTATAAATAAATAAAAATCTGAATTGACCCAAATTTCCTCCCTATCTATACATACTCATACCATACCCCTCCTGCCAACCTGCCGACTCTGGCAGCCAACGCGCTCTGCCTAATGGAATGACCAACCCTGGATTGAGCATTTCCATAAATTCTTCCACATGTATTTGCGGAGAAATGCTGGCAGCTATTTTCCTTCTACTCACACTTCTTTAGATCCAGCTCATAGTTCTGTGCCAAACGATTCACAGGCTACTGAGCAGAATTATCATGGGAGAGGAGCAGGAGCATGCCATACACATTGCATTTGCTCACAGTGGCTGTCATCACCGCAACAGTAAACATGACAACTTTGAGGAGGTGATATTTAATGGGCACAGTTCAAAAGCAAATAAATGGATAAGAGTAAAACAAAAATAAAAGAAAATGTTACTGGAACGTCTGGTTAGTCATCTTATTAAGTATTTCTGCAACTTTTACAACACTGCTACTTAATGGCAGACAAAATCTGAGATGCAGTAATTTCCACCCCGCTCAGCACCACTTTTAGGCAAATTAAGTATGCTTGTGAGTCCTCTCCTGTCACTTAAGCACATCTTTAGGCTTTCTGTAGCTTTTATTCTCTACCGTGTCATTTCCCTTCTGTTCTTTTGCTCAGTATTTTGTGAAATTACTCTTGTTCCAGCAGAAAAGACATACAGGTGGGAGAAGGGGGGGGGGAATCTAGAAAATTACATGCCTAGGCTGTAAACCATCTATATCAGTTCCTGCACAAACATCCACTCTTAACTCCTCGACATAATTGGGCACCATAGTAAACAGTGACCTTGAGGTAAAGTCGCATCTCAGCTTTGAAGCTTCTGTACAGCTCAGTTGCTCTGAGATTCAGTAAAACACTTTTTAAAACGGAGGCTTCAAACCATTACCCAGAATCTCCAAAAAGAAGAAAAGAATTCCTTATGGGGAAGGGGCACATCCCCTGAGAAATTCCAGGTAGTTGATCAAAAGTATTTTTTTTAAAACTACCTGTGTCCATATATCCTCTCTGGAAGTGTGGAAAGAGGGTGTAAGTGATCTGTCCATCCTCTTTGTAGTGTCATTCCGAGAGGTGGGGGCGCATATTTTTGACATGAGTTCTAGTAATTAATATAGTGATTGGCTTAGCTCACATGACAGAACCAGCCCCATCCTGGTGGTCAAAGTTTCCTTCCAGCAAACAAATGAAGTGAACACCAGCAAGCAAAGTGAGCTTCCACCATGGTGGAATAAATAAATAAGTAAGTAAGGTGTGAGGTTATCTTTTAGGCATCCTGCTCCCAAGTTGTACAGGGCTTTGTACACTCATATCAGCACATTAAACCTTAACGCAGCAGCTAATTAGCAGTCAGCGCAATTATTTCACAAGCTGCATACCATGATGGCAATGTTCTGCTCCACTGAACAGTCCACTACTACTGTTTTTAATGGTACATATTTTATAGCTTTAGAAAACGTAGTGGACTTTGAAGAAAACTACTACACTATATATGTGTGAAAGCACTTCCACCCCCACCTCTAGAAATACTTTTCCATGTCCAGAGCTCTGGGAAGGGAGGGAGACAGAAGCAAAATGGAAATTCATAATTACTTAGCTGTGGTTTGGTCTATCAGATTAGTTTGGCCTTAGAAAATAATTTTCACCTGTGCCATTTTATTTCTCCTCTCTGAGTTATGAAGTGACCTGAAATAGAGCTATAGAAATAATGTAATATAATGATCCAGGAAATGAATGTTGCATTTCAGAAAATCCAATGGATGTCACCTTATTAATATCAAGCTAGTTCATCAAGATTAATGATAGCACAATAATCTCTACAGGAAAAATTAATAACCTGTGGGACATTATTTGTTCTTCTGGAACATGTTAGATGATCATTGCTGTAAGGAATTTGTTTTCCCATTTAAAAAGTGTATATTTTGTTCCACTTTTGTGCAACCATGTAGGAAATGCCAAGTATATCATATCTTCCTACAAGACCATTCATCAGTATATACCTCCTTTTATCTGTAAATACCAATGTTTGTGTACTTAGCACAACCTTCTGAAGTCACGCGTAGATGTTATACTGCTATTTTAAAGTATTCCGTCAAGAAGGATTTCTTTATTTACTTTGAAGTCTCCATGAAAGCTCATTAAATCCAATTACCCAACTGTACAGAAAGGACAATAAAACCCTCCTTTTTATGAACACATTTTTTAGCTTCT